ATCAAAATATCAATTATAATGGTTAATTTAAATTCAAATTTTAATTTCTCATGGAAACAGTATTACCTAGATATGCTCTGTCTAGTTAGTATGCATGTAGAATGAGCTGCTCCACATTTTCCTGCTATCTGACATTTACCTTTCAAAATTCACAAAATCTGTTTTAGGCACTTTCAATGGATTATTTTCCAAAAAGTATAATATATCATGTTATGCACTTATTAGGCTCTATAAGTTAACTAGCATGGGCCTCAGTTGACTCTTCCTTCATCACTCAGAGTCATTATTACTAAAAGTAGCATAGTTCATTAGAAGGACTGGATAGTCCTTCAACATCGGGCAGATCTGGAAATACAACTTGGCTTTGCTACTTCCTAACAGTGTGGTCTTAGACAAGTCACTTATCAGTGACTGGGGAAGCCAGCTTGTACTGGTTCACCAGTACCTACTGTTAAAGCTTTCAGCAGTTTTGTGAGCTGATCCTTAAAATATTCATGATTAAAAATTAAATTATAGAAATGTACTAAACTTTATTATTCCCTATGTCCCTATAAATAACCCAAGGTTATGTCACTTATTGTGTCTGTATAGAAGAAATACAATATAACACAGTGCTACCGTTCATCTTTTCCCCACCCCGTCTTCATCGCTATCCCATTGGTTGCTCGAACTTAGCCATGGTGGAAGAATTTATACTATAGGAATTGGCCAAGTGCTGCCAGTCAGTATTGATGTATTGTTTTGTTGATTGTCAAGACCTGAGAAAGTGATAGAGACAATCTTAATAATTCAGAGTAAAATTAAAAGTGTGTCACATCTATAGCGTTACATTGTAAGTAGGACAGACATTTGAGAAAATATCCTTTCAGTGTTTGAAAACTATTACCCAATGCAGTGAAGACGTAGCTCATGTCACTGATGAACAAGTGAAATTCTGGTACATCATTGTTGTTTTCCTTTTATTTTGCCTGTTAATTTAAGCAAAAATACCAGGTAACATTCACATAAGAACTACACACATTTGTTTGGTTGCAACCGGAGGTTGGCTACCAATATAAGAATTTGGCAAAAATCTAAGAGTGTTCTGTGAGAAATGGTTAGACATACGGAATTTATAGTAAAGAACACTGAATATTATTTGGAAATTGTGTATTACGTGGCTTTTATGTAATAAAATTTATAATTAACATATGTATACATACTTTATTTTTATTTATTTATTTTAAAGTAAACTCTCTCCCCAATGTGAGGCTTGAACTCACAACCCCAAGATTGAGAGTTGCATGCTCTACCAACTGAGCTGGTTGTTAATATTTACTAGAACACTGTTACTTAAACTCTCTGAGATTAAGCTTTTTCATCTGTTAATTTGCTTATCCAAAATGATGAGCACAATACTTGACTAAATTGTATTTTGGTATTCATACCTGTTTCATTCTAAGATTGAATATCAGTATTTTCCCCCCATCCCTCTAAACTTCATATATAGGCATACTGAGAGCCGTTGGAATGCATATAATTTTTTGCCTCTCTATTATGACTTCAGACTATAGTAATTTTTAATATTCATGATTTCTTTGTATAGATACTTAGTATCCTACCTTGATTTCAACTGTCATTTTCGATTTTGTTAGAGCTCCTCCTTTTACTAGCCCCTCCTGTCTCCCCATGGTCCCCTCCCATACCTTATAGCATATGCTGTCCTGTGTGGGTCCAAAAACTAATACCTAATTCTGTTTGAATTGTATGCAAAATATGAGTAAGTAGATGCTAAGTGAGACCTGAAAGACCTTCCTGTAATTGCTTTTGTCTACTCTGTGACCTCCTTTCTTATATAAAAATTATTATGAGGGGCTCCTGGGTGGCTCAGTCATACTCTTGATTTTGGCTTAGGTCATGATCTCACAATTCGTGAGACTGAGCCCTGCATCGGGCTCCACGCTTACAGCATGGAGCCTGCGTGAGATTCTCTCCCTCTCTGCCTGCTCCTTACCCACTCACAAACGGGCACACGTATGTGTGTACACGGTCTCTTGCAAAATACTAGATGAATAAACTTTAAAATAAAATAATTATGAAATATATTAGGCATAAAAAAAAGGGTTGTGACAGCAATAGCACTGCTAGGAAATTACCCAAGGGATACAGGAGTGCTGATGCATAGGGGCACATGTACCCCAATGTTCATAGCAGCACTGTCAACAATAGCTAAAACATGGAAAGAGCCTAAGTGTCCCATCAACAGATGAATGGATCAAGAAGATGTGGTTTATCTATACCATGGAATACTACATGGCAATGAGAAAGAATGAAATCTGGCCATGTGTAGCAACATGGATGGACCTTGAGGGTGTTATGCTGAGCGAAATAAGTCAGACAGAGAAGGACAAATATCATATGTTTGCACGTATAGGAGGATTAGGAGGAACTTAACTGAGGAATGAAGGGGAAAAGAAGGGGGGAAATGGTGGGGGAAAGGGAGAGAGGCAAACCATGAGAGACTCTTGAAAGCTGACAAAAACTGAGGACTGATGGATGTGGGGGGGTGGGGGGATGGGCATGGAGGAGGGCACTTGTGGGGATGAGCACTGGGTGTTATGTGGAAACTAATTTGACAATAAACTATTTGTAAAAAAGTAAAAAAAATAAAATATAAAAAAGGGTTGTGAACAATGTAATAAATAGCTCCCCGTATGCCCCAGCCCAGGTTAAGGAAGGAAACATAAGAGTCCCTGATTCCAGGGGCGCCTGGGTGGCTTAGTCGTTAAGCATCCGACTTTCGCTTAGGTCATGATCTCGCGGTTCGTGGGTTCGAGCCCCGCGTCGGGCTCTGTGCTGACTGCCAGCTCAGAGCCTGGAGCCTATTTCAGAGTCTATCTCCCTCTCTCTCTGACCCACCCCTGCTCACGCTGTCGCTAGCTCTCTCTCTGCAGGAAATAAATAAAAATATTAAAAAAAAAAAAAAAAAGAGTCCCTGATTCCATTACCCCTTTTTCTCCCCAAAGGTAACCACTAGCCTGAATTGATCATTTCCAGGCATGTTATATATGTTATATGTTTACCTCATATGTATATGTTCAGAAAATACACAGATTGTTTTACATATTTAAAAGTATGCAAAACATGATAAATGTATGTTCTTTTTTTTTGTATTGTACATATTCTTTAAAAAAATCAGTAGGCTTTATATTTTAGAGTAATCTTAGGTTTACAGAAAAATCGAGCAGAAAGTCCAGAGAGTTTCCAAATACCCCATTCCCTTAGTTGCCTTACTAGTAACATCTTGCATTACTATGGAACAATTATTACAACTGATGAGTGAAGAGCGATACATTATCATTAAGTAAAGTTCATAGTTTATGGGCTTTGATAAATACATCCATTATAGTATCATGTAGAATAGTCTTACTGCCCTAAAAATCCAAATTCCATCTGTTTATCCCTGTATATATTCTTTTGAATCTCAAGTTTTTTGTTTGTATAGTTTTGAGGCAGAGTCCATTTGGAGTCTAATAACAAAACACTATAAACTGGAAGGCTTATTTCTTACAATTCTAGAGACTGCAAGTCTGAGGTGAGAGTGGCTGGGTGAGGACCGTCTTCTGCATCACAGATATCTGTATTTTCACAGGGCACAGAGGACTAGGGGACTCTCTGGGTGTCACTTATAAGGGCACTAACTCATTCAGGAGGGCTCCAGCCTTCTGACTTAAGCACCTCCCAATACCACATCCTAATACCATCAGGATTAGGCCATTAGGATGTCAACATAAATTTTAAGGGATACAAACATTCAGACTAGCAGAGGGTTACTGATGCTCTGATTCATTTCCTTTAACTGCTGATTAGTGTTTCCTCTGTATGATTATACCTCAAATTAATTATCAGTTCTACTGTTGATAGAATGTAGGTTGTTTCCTGGATTTTGTTATTATAGACATCTATGCCTCAATGATCTCATATCACCCCTTTGTGAAAATACATGAGCATTTCTCTAGGGCATGCACCTAGAAGCGGAATTATGGAGTCATGAGATTTTTAAAATTACTCCTTTATGCTATAAAATGGATTCTAACTACCATTTTAAGCAAGATTTCTATGTGTACAGATATTCTAAATATAATGTAATTTTTACTTTCTGTTCTAATGTGCACCACTCTCTCTTTCCTGTGGGCTCTTTGGATCCTAGCTTCCCTTTTTTCTATTTTGTCACCACCCCCACTTCCCAGCAATTCACCTTGATGACCCAATTTTTTCTATAGCTGTCTGTCTAAAAGTCATTTTTCTAAGAGACCCCCAACTCTACTCCACATCTGGATAAATGCCCCTCCTTGGTTTTCTGGCAAGGCTTTTACCTCAGCTGTTGTGCAGTTGCCCATAGCTAACTTCTCCAAGGACAGGAAGCACAGCTGAGTTTACCCTGGTATCTCTGTGCTCAGCATACAGCCTGACACATAACATTTGTGGAATTAATGGAGGTGTGAATGAATGAATGTGGGGCACTAATATCATGTCAACAGTTGCAGAAACTAGTGCCCTCCCCACAATAGTTGACTGGACCATTGCAGGCTCCACTGTTAGCTAACAGAAAATAGAGTTCAAGTGTAGAGGGCCAAAGACAAGGTCCTAAGACTCCATCAGGCTCAGCAAGGACAAGACATGTCAGTCATGGCCAGGAGGAGATATTTTCAACTCAGACATTCATAAGCTGGGGCCTGCCTCTGTTTACCAGCTGGGAAATCTTCAGAAAATGAACCATGAAAGCCTGTGATGTAGCAGCACTATGCAATCATTTTTCATTTGCTACCAGTCAGCTTCAGGGATCAAGGACAGCTAAACACATAACTCGCTCATGCATGTTATTTTAAAGGCATATTTTAAAGTTATAAATATGGTACATTGAGTTAATGAGGTATGTTCTTTTGGCGACAAATATTTACATTCCACATATGCCTCTTGATGTCAAGAGTGTAACCGTTTCATTTTCTCCTTTTTCTCAGGAGGCTGGGATGCAGATGGAAAAGGCCCTAGTGTCTGGGACACATTCACCCATCAGGGAGGAGAGAGAGTTTTCCAGAACCAGACTGGCGATGTAGCTTGTGGCAGCTACACTCTGTGGGAGGAAGATTTGAAATGTATCAAACAGCTTGGATTGACTCATTACCGCTTCTCTCTTTCCTGGTCACGTCTGTTACCTGATGGGACGACAGGTTTCATCAACCAGAAAGGCAAGTGTTTCTTAAAAATAGAAGGTTGCAGCTTTAATTCAAGGTTATTGCTGCAGTCTGGCATAATTAATCCAGTGTGCTGTTCTGCAGCATAGCTTTGAATTTGCAAGTTTTTAGCATGATTATGGGGTAAATTTCTTGAAATGGGTTTGCATTAGCTTTCTTAATAATATTCTGCTTTCCCTTAACTGGAGATATTTTTCGGGAGAGGCAAAATAGATGGGCAGGATGGGGTAGGAATGAGTGTTGCATTGATGTGAGATATGGAGTGTTTATCTGAAGGTGAATTTCCAAAAGTTATGTATTAAACTGTCTTCAGTTGTGTAGGCTGTGGTGACTTATGAAAAGCCCTGCAGAACTTGAGAAGATTTGGAGCATTTCAGTTGAAGCCGAATTAGCAGAGCTAATAAACTAGTACAGAGATTGGCACCAAGACATGTGAAGTTCACTTAATTTGGGATTAAGTGCCAGCTATATCGCTTACTGTCTGTGTAAGCATCTCTTGGGCATTTTATGCCTCAGTTTCCCCACAAGTCGAAAGGAATACTCTAATAGTTCCTACTTCTGAGAGTTGTGGGAAGTTTAAATGAAATAATCTCTGTAAAGTGCATTATTTGCATAGTAGTTTGTATATTATAAAAGCATTCAAATAGTGTTAGTGATTATTCTTATTCAGATTTGTAATTAAAAAGACTGCTGTCCTGGGATGCCTGGGTGGCTTAGTATGTTAAGGGTCTGACTCTTGATTTTGGCTCGGGTCATGATATCACTGTGAATTTGAGTCCTGTGATGGATTCTGCGCTGACAGCACAGAGCCTGCTTGGGATTCTCTCTCTCCCCCTCTCGCTCTCTCTCTCTGCCCGTCCCTGACTCATGCTTTCTCTCTCTCTCTCTCTCTCTCTCTCTCTCTCTCAAAATAAATAAATAAAAACTTTACAAAAAAAGGACCACTGCCCTATTTGAATGCCTGTTATTTATGAGGCATTTTACATATGTTTTCACAAATCCCCACAGTCAATGAAGAGAAGGTATAATGAATCACATTTTTAGAGTGGTGCATGTCCAAATCCAGATATTTTGTAAATGGTGGGTCAGGAATTTAAATTTAAGGTCTTGTTAGCTCCTTCCACACAACAGTGTTGGTAGACTATAACCTGAGGTCCAAATTTGGCCTGACTCCTGTTTTTGTAAATAAAGTTTTAATTGCAGCACAGCCATGCCCATTCAATACATATAGTCTGTGGTTGCTTTCCTATTACAATGGCTGAATTGAGTAGGTGGGGCAGAGACCATGTGGCCTGCAAAGCCTGAAATATTTACTACCGGGTACTTTACAAGAAAAGTTTTGTGACCCCTGTACTATAACATAAAGCCTTCTTAATAAAGAATCTTTATTGCTACTTTGTCCTGGGAAATATTTCACACTACTCCTAGGGTTGGGACTAGGTGAGGCAAATGATGTGCCTGAGGCACAAAATTCAAGGAAACATTGACTCTCAGGGTCTTACAAGTGCAAAATGGGCACTTGCAGAAACCCGAATGAAGGCACCTGCTAGCCTCATCCTGCTTCCAGCCTGCAGTGCCTTCATTGCCTCTCTGGGGAGAAGTTCTTTTATCTGATTTCCCACATAGTAAGAACAACCTGTGATAACATTTGCTAGGTGGGCATACGTACTCACAAATGTTGATCTTACGTAAGGTTGGTTAACCTGTACATTGTGAAGTGCAGCTGCAACTCGTGTCTCCTCCAGAGAGCGACAACACAAGATCCATTGCCTGATCTAAAGATACTAGCTCCCTTCACTAACTCCTGTTGGTTGAATGCCTACTTTCTTGACATCACTGACCAGTTTTTTTTTCTGCCTCGTACACATACTAATTTGTTGTTCAGTTTAAAAGTGAACTAATAATTTTCTGCCTTCTTCATCCATAATCTATAACATGTTTTCTCTGGCACCATTATATCCCCAAAAGTCTAAACTAAGAGTAATCTCTGAATCCCTCTTATTTGGCTTCCTACATCTAATTGGTTGCTAAGTATGATCCATTCCACTATGTCTCTCTAACTTCTCCTTCCTGGTCATCTTCTCTGCCTCTGCCCTGGTTTATCTGTTTATCATTATCATCAAGGACTTTTTGATATACCCATGTTGGGTCTAACTACTTTCACACTTTCCCTGCCCTTTAATTCTTTGTACAGAATACCAAGCTTCAGTGTATAGTGTACCCTCCTTTATATGTCATTCCAGGTTTCATTTGACTTAGTCTTAACTCACCTCTGAGACATTACAGGCTGAAATCCCCTATAAATATGACCCATGCAATTGTTCTATTTACTTACCTAAGCACATAACCCACTATTTATTAAATGTTCTGTGCAATTTTCCACCTCTGGAGGAATTTTCTTAAGCTCTTTTTCCTGTCTGGAATGGCCTTTCCTTAACTACACCCACTGAATATCTACCCTCTTGGTAAGGCCAGCATGGACGTTTTCTCTTCTTTAGGCTCTACCCTGTTGGAAGGCAGAATGCATCTTTGTTTTTCTATTTGCATTGCATTTCATAAACCTTTTTGAATATTTCTCACATGTTTTACTCTTAGAATCACTATATTCCCTGTTAGATTATAAGCACCTTGAGTTTCATTCAATTCAGCAAATGTGTCTTAAGTATCTACTGTGTGTCAGGTACTGTGCTAGGTACTTGTAGCATAGATATGAGAATCTCTTGAATTGCCTACAGTGTAATGGCCAGGGAATTCTGCCTTGTTCATCCCCATAACAAATTTCTTACAAAGAGAAATTCAGTAAACATTTGCTGAATTTAATCGGATGAGGTCAATAATAAAAATGCAAATAACCCTAAAGCTAGTAATGGTTGTGTTTCATTGAGCACGTAGTATGTATAACTCAGTATGCCAACACTGCACCCCACTTCTGCTAATTTAATGCTCTTAATAGCCTTATGAGTGAGGTGCTTCTCTAAACAGGGAATAATGGTGACCTGAAATAGAAGGCTGGGTGTAAGTTTGCCAAGGTGACAATTTAGTTAGTGCTGAATTCAACCTAGGTCTGTCTAATGTCAAACCTGTAGTATCTTACTCTAGAACCTTCTGTAGCCTCACTAGACCACTTCTCCCTGTGCTACAGCTTCCCTGTTGGTGAAAGGAAGCAAAGGCACCACATCACCAGAGCTCTTTTTGCTGCTCTAGTCCATGATTCTGGGCATTTGGAGTTTTCACTGAATTTCTATTTGGATGGTAAACACTGGGAAATTTTGAAAACACACACACACCAAAACAACACTTCCCCTGGCCAACTTGTAATGTAAGTTCATAACCCCTTATCTGAAATTCTAAAATCCAAAAAGCTCTGAATGCTGAATCTTTTTTATCAAGTTAATTCTAAAAATAATTTGTTAGCAAAAGCTAACCTGAATTGATGTTTTTTTTTAATTGAAGAATAATTGACATACAATATTGTATTAGTTTCAGGTATAGAACATAGTGATTTAGCATATATATATATATATATATATATACACATATATATGTATATTATTAGATGATCACCACAATAAGTCTGGTTACCATGTGTATTCATACAAAGTTGTTATGATATTATTGACCATATTCCCTATGCTGCACACGATGGCCCCATGATTTATTTATTTTATACTTGGAAGACTATACATCCTAATCCCCTTCACTTATTTTGCTCATCCTCCCTCCTCTCTCCCTAGCAACCATCAGTTTGTTCTCAGTTTGATTCTTGTTTGTTTCATTTGTTCATTTGTTTTTTAGAGTCCATATATAAGTGAAGTCCTATGGAATTTGTCTTTGACTAATTTCACTTGTCATAATACCCTCTAGGTCCATCCATGTCACTGCAAATGGAAAGATCTCATTCATTTTTATGGCTGAGTGACTCTCTCTCTCTCTCTCTCTCTCTCTCTCTCACACACACACACACACACACACACGCACACATACACATACCACATCTTTATCCAGTCATCCACTGATGGAAATTTAGGTTGCCTTTATTGGCTATAGTAAGTAATGCTGCAATGAAGACAAGTTAGTGTTTTTGTTTTCTTCAGGTAAATATCTAGAAGTAGTAGCATTGCTGGATCATATGGTAGTTCTACTTTTAATTATTTGAGGAACCTCCCTACTGTTTTCCATAGTGGCCACACCAATTTACATTCCTGTTAACCCTGCATGAGGGTCCCATTTCTCCACATCCTCACTAACACTTGGTATTTCTTGATACTAGCCACTCTGACATGTGTGAGGTGATATCGCATCATGGTTTTGATTTGCATCTCCCTGATGGTTGGTGACATTGAGCATTATCTTCATGTGCCTTTTGGCCATCTGTATGGCTTTTTTTGAAAAGTATCTATTCAGAATTCCCTGCCTAGTTTTTAATCAGATTATTTTTTAAGTGTTTCTTTATTTTTGAGAGAGAGAAAAAAGAAAGAGAGGGAGACAGAGAATCCCAAGCAAGTTCTGTCAGTGCGGAACCTGATGTGGGGCTCAAACTCATGAACTGTGATATCATGACCTGAGCCGAAATCAAGGTTGGATGTTCAACTGACTGAACCACCCAGGTGCCCCAATCTGGTTGTTTTTGGAATTATATGGCTTCTTATATATTTTGGATGTCCATCCCTTGTGAAAATTTTTTTATAATCTCAGGTTATTTCACTTGGTAAGGATGTTTGTATAGTTTACTGCAGAAATATTAAGGGAGACTGACCCAGACCCACTGGGGATATTAACTTAATATATGGTATTTGCGGGGCACCTGGGTGGCTCAGTCGGTTAAGCATCCGACTTTGGCTCAGGTCATGATCTCACGGTTCATGGGTTCGAGGCCTGTGTCGGGCTCTGTGCTGACAACCAGCTCAGAGCCTGGAGCCTGCTTCAGATTCTGTGTCTCCCTCTCTCTCTGATCCTCCCCTGCTCATGCTCTCTCTCTCTCTCTCAGAAATAAA